GGGGAGGGCAGCCCGGGGGTTCCCCGGGTCTCCCCCCACCCCGCTCCACCGGGCCACCCCGAGCAGCAGCATCCCCGAGGACACTGCTGCTTCCCCCGGGCGAAGTCCTGCCCGCGGCCTCCACACCGGGCTGGGGCTGCGGGCGAGCATCCCGTCACGCTGCCCGGGCCTGGGGGCAAGCCCCCACCGAGGGAAGGAAGGCTGGCGGGATCTGACTGGCTGGAACCGTCCGCCCTGGGCGGCTGTGGCTGGTACCAGACCGTCGATTGCACCAAGGTGCGAAAGCATTGCCCTGCAACCCCTTCCCCCCGCCGCACCGTCGCTCAGGACTGGCAGGGCAGCTCGAAACCGGGACAGCGGATGGCTCGGTACCGGGAAGGGGGAGGCGGCTTTGCCCGCTCGCCATGCCGCTGCCAGATCTGCGCCTGCTCTCGCAAGTGCCCGGGATGTGGTAAAGCGCTTCCCGCTTGCTGGGCTGTTTACAGGATGGGGCTGTTGCTTTACCTGCTCCCCAGTTGCTCCTGACCCCCCGCTGCCAGCGGGCAGGCTGGAACCCTGACCTGGCTGACCTGCATCCGTCCCCTGCTCGCAAACACCATCGCACCAAGGGACCCGCCATGCCTCGCGCTGCGCCGGGCTGCACGGTTCCCGCCAGCATGGGGAATGCCCCGTTTATTGCCGCCTCTGCTCTGCCCGGGGCAGGGGGGTAGGTGACGGGGCACGGCAGCTCCCCATCCCTCGAAATACTGACCGGGAGGGGGGGGACGGACAGGCACGGGCAGCGTCGCACCGGCCCGGCCCAGCCCCGTTCAGAGCAGGCGGCACCGGGGACGGGGCTGCCGGGGGCTACTGGTATCGTCTGTTTGGACCTGTCCTTAGCCGGCTGTCACTCAGCCGGGAAACCAAGGTGATATGGCGGAGCCCGCGAGCAGCCGCTGCCGCCCCCGCCGGGGAGAAGGGAGCCGCGGCACCGGGCGCTGTAGGGAGAAGGCGGGAGGCCGGCGGGGCCGGGCCGAGACTACATCTCCCGTGGTTCCGCGCGCGGCCCGGACTACAACTCCCGTCGTACCCCTCGCGGGAGGCGTTGCCTCGCCCCCGCTGCCCCCCGGGCCGTGACGCGAGCGGGCTCTATGGCGACGCGGTGGCGTCGCGGGCGGGGTGAGAGGTCACGGCAGCGGCGCCGGTG